AAACCCCTAAACCCCTAAAACGCCTTACGTCTTGGAGCCCCAAAAGAGGGACCCTAATCTTGACAACCACTCAGGTTCATTAGCGGCCGCCACTGGTCGTGCTTGCTTCGCATCTGGTGGCGTCTCGGCCTCATACAACTTAGCGGATTTTGCTTTTGTGAATTGGGTTTTAGGGTTTAGGGTTCATAGGGTTTCTTTAGGGAGTATTGAGTTGGTTTGAGGTTTAGGGTCAATAGATTTAGATCACGGGGTGTGGTGTTCAGCGTTTACTGGTATCCTGGAATTGTCCGTAGCTACGTTGATCCCAGCCGGTCTGATGCTCCATAGGGTTTGGGGGGCGGCTACCCAGCTGGAAACTAAATAATCATGGATTCTCTTCTCAACACGGCTGCCATAAATTCATAATCCCCTCCCCCCAATATCAAATCCCTCCAGCCCCCGTAATATTCAACATTCCCAGTATAACATAACATACCACAATGGGCTTATTTCATAGTAGGGGGTGGAGGATTTCCAAATTAGGGGAAGGAGCCCTCTGTAGTGCTTCCTCCCTACAGTACCACGACTTCCACTTTCACATTCCCAGAGGGTCCATATATANNATACTATAGAAGGAATCATGGGTCCCAATTCCCTAATGGTTGTATATGTAGACCCTCTGGGATTCTTGAAACACCACCATCTGAACCTTCTACTACACCTGCCTCGTTGCCATAACTCCCCAGGATCAGTTCACCGATCGGGCCTCCGGCTGAATTCCAAACATAACCTTACTGGTGCTTAAGGGGGAGAGGGGCGAGTAATCTACGAGATTAGAGTCCCCCTTAACTAGATAGAATATGGCTCTGGGTTTAATAAGATCCCTATATACTCCATATTCTATATACTTAAGGGGGACTATACCCTAAACCCTAAACCCTAAATAGTAGTTTCCATGTTCTTTTCCATTATCCCTGTATCTACTTAAGGGGGACCATAATGATTGGGATCCACTTCCACACCCCACCTTACGCACCAGTAGGTACCCCCTCCAATGTAGTACCTTTTTGGTAGTCCTAATAAAAGTCTTAACCGTACCAAACCCAAAAAGGAACTACATTGGAGGGTCTAGGTAGGTACTCCCTTTGAAGGGCAATGTTGAGAGGGGAGTTTCCAGTCAGGGTCAGATAGTAATGTCCGGGGTTTCTGAGGCTTAGATAATCGCTAAACCCTAAACCCTAAACCGGAGGAGGCTTACGTAGAGGCTATGGTGAACCCTAAACCCTAAACCCTAAACCGTGCAAAGGTTCCATGAAACAAAATTCCCGGAGGCCTGAAAGCGGTTTAGGCTTTACCTAAACCCCCAAAAGTAGGTAAAAGAATGGCCCTAAATACCAAAACATAGCCCCAAAGGCCATTATTCTACATACTTTTGGAGTCTAGGTAATAAGGACTCTTATTTGGGGCTATATTTTGGTATTTAGGGCTAAAATCACTACTTTTGGGGTTTAGGTAGGTTTAGGGTGCTTAGGCCTTGGTTTTGGCGTGAAGCTTGAGAAGCCACCGCCACCACACCCAGGATCTAAGGTTTAGAATGCAGGGCTAAACCCTAAACCCTTGTTTGCGGGAAACCTAAGAAGGCCTTCTACATTCTGAGGGGAAATTCTTTCTTCCTTTCGCCTAAGGTGTCATATAGTCCCTCTTAAGTAGATAGAATATGGCTTTGGGCATATTATGACAAGATCCTCTTATGCCCCAGAACTTGTCTGCTTAAGGGAGAGTATAGCCTATCAATGCGGCCTGGCTTTTCACAAGGATCAGGGGTGCCTAGGTTGAAGGGGATACTCATTCAATGAAGTTGGGTTCAGGGGGTTCATATTGCTTTTATTCGCTCCACAGAGTGGGCCCCCCACGTAGTAGCCTGCCCATAAATCCCATAAGGAGCCAGACTAATTCCACTCACAGCCCACTGAATAAGAGATCATAATCCAACTTAAGCCCTAAACCCTAAACCCCTGTCGCTTAATAGTGGGCGGGACTACCTAGGAATATGAGGGACGGCCGTATAAGGATTTAAGGACTTAAGGGTTTAGGGTTCCAAGTTTATCAAGCAAGAAGACATCCCGAAACCTGTATTTATCTACTTGGCACTTAGGACCCCTACTAAGGGTTAACCCTTGGGTACCAATACTAGGGGTATAAGGGAATCCCAAAGGGTTAAGGGTCTAAGGTCCAAGCTAAGTCCCATGGAGTTATTACAGGTACCATGACCCCACGTACCGAATTATTCTGTGTAACTGGAATCTTATGAGCCATAGTCTGAACTTGCAGTATCCCCCTTACTAAGGCCTATAGTACTCCGCTTTCTAATCCCCTACATAACCCCCCTTTAAGGAGTTTAGACTATAGAAGCTAGACTCCGGTCAGGCTGTTTCAGTTAAGTGCCTAAGCTTGAGGGTTGAAATATTATAGTAAAGTCTATGAGATTATAACTTCTTATAGGATATTATAGCGTATTAATAGTGCTCTGACGCTTCTTCTGGGCATATCACAAGTCCCCGGTGTAGTTAAGGCTCAAACCTCGACGCCTAAGCTGCCTAAATCTCCTCAACCCTAAGGGGATTAGGGTTTAGGGTTTAGGGGTTTAGGGTTTAGGGGTTTAGGGTTTAGGGGTTTAGGGATTTAGGGTTGCGCTAAACCCTGAACCCTACCTAATGCCCCTTTAGGGAGTTTAGACTATGGATTTGCGCAAATTTCTGAACCCTCAGCCCTAAACCTCGAGCCTGAACCCTGATAAAACTTGGCCCAAACCTGGAGTAGAAGCAACTCAACTTTTTAAGTCGGTACTTATACCCTTGAAGGAACAGGCTTCCTGAACCCTACACCCTAAAATCACGCCCAAGAATATCTATCCAGGAACCCCTCTGAGCCCAAACTTTCAAAGTATGTAGGTTCCAGGGCTTAGGATTCAGAGATCAGGGCTTAGGGATTAGGTTTGGGGATTCCGGGTATACCCTAAGGCTCTTACGGCTATTCATAGGCTCTCTTGGGGAAGGTTTGGATGTCGGGGTTTAGTTTAAAGTTTAGAAACTCACTATGGCGGGACCAAGAGCGTTAGGGTACAGAAATAGAGATATCCGGACCCGTGAAGCGCTAAGCTCTGAAGCCTAAAATCCCCAACCAAACCGTTATAGTCCCCCTTAAGTAGATAGAACATGGCTTTGGGTATATTAGAGTAAGATCCCCATATACCCCATATTCTATCTACTTAAGGGGGACTATAAACCCTACACCCTTAACCTTTAAGGCTCAGGGGTATTCTGGGGCTCTCCCAACCACCGCCCCCTGTGCTACCCAAGCAAGCCCAACGAAGGGGGAAGCCTAGGAGATTTTATAGGAGGTGTGGTTAGATAACCCATAATTCTACGGTATGAAAACTGGAAATATCCAGCCTTGGCGAACTCCTTCTCAGACATCTCAACCTTTGCCGTGAGCTCCTGCAGTACTGTAGGTCTTGGGCCAATACGTATTTTACTACCTTGCACAGACTTTAAAAGTCCATGTAGGACCTAATCCCTCAATGCTCTGAGTTCAACCCTAAACCCTAAACCCACTAAACCCTACCCATAATCCTCAAGTCCTACATCCCTTCCTTATCATCCTTCGGACACCTAAGCCTGAATTCCTTCCACGAAAGGTTTAGGGCTTTGCATGCAGGTCTCCAAATTCCATCAGGAATCAGGGTAGTTAAGACAATCCAAGAGGTGCAAGATTTGCTCGATCAAGAATATTCAGGGCCATACATGTTCAAATTCTACGGTACTTACTATCCAATTGATAGTAACTGGGGGCAGTATACAACCTAAACCCGAAACCCTAGCTCCTAAACCCTAAGCCCTATGCCCTAAGCCCTGCACATTTTACGAACCAAGCTTTGGAGTGATAGGAGGGGGCTTAGGAAGTAGGTTGAGCGTCGCGATATTCCGTATCCCCTCCCCTAATCATCAGCCCGGTTTGGGGTTCAGGGTGCAGGCTCCCCTTAGCTTTTATCTTCCCCTTGTGGTATACAACTTTAGCAGGGAAACTATATAACAATATTCTGGGGGTGGAGGTTTTTGATATTATGGGGAGGGGATATATGGCTTCAAACTATCGGCTGATAGGTGTGCTGCAACTGGCTAAGCTCCCCCAACCCTCCAAGTACATCATTAACTCCACTTGAGTAGCGTTTTTTTGGTGGTTAAAGCCAGTAAGATTATATTCCTTATATAAAGTACTATACCCCAAAAGGCGGATAGAATCTTGCTCTATAATTAGTGGGTACATGCGGGTACCATAGTATCCCCAAATAAAATACTACTCACTTGAAGGCGCATGGGTTCTTAGAAGTGGCCAATAGCTGAGCTTATGGCTACCGAGTGGACCCTTAGTCCCCAACTTAGTCCCGAATCCCTAGGAAAGTGGGATCCTCTGCGCGGTCATATATGGAAACCTTTTCTCCAAAAACACATGAGCTATGATCTAATCTCCTAGTATCCCCCCTTGATAACCCCTAAATATACTACTCTCCAGTACTGACCTATATAATCCCCTATATAACGCGTCTTGATATTTTGAGGAATTTAGACTATAGCTCATACAGGAAAACCACCTCTCCCAAAACATACAAAGGATCCTTCTCCCTAAGCCCTACGTAGATCTTACTTGAATTTCATGGGGCTGAATAAAGTAGCTACCCAGCCCCATGAAGCTTCTATTACTTGCAAACCCTAAGCATAAAACCCTGAGCCCTAAACCCTATACCCCAAACCCAACACCCTGAGCATAAAAACCCCGAGACCCTGAGCCCTAAACCCTATACCTTAGGTGGACCCCCACCCATAGTGACTAGAAGGGATAATAGGGATTATATTAGGGGTCCTCTTATATTCTTATTATGCCACTATTACAGGGTGGGGGGTCCTCCTAACCTATACCCCAAACCCAACACCCTAAGCATAAAACCCCTAGACCCTGAACCCTCAACCCTATACCCCAAACCTAACACCCTAAGCATAAAAACCCCATAAACCCTATACCCCAAACCCAACACCCTAAGCATAAAAAAAACCCTAGACCCTGAACCCTAAGCCCTATACCCCAAACCTAACACCCTAACTGAGCGTGGCCTTCTCCTTGGGCGGCTTTTCTTCGGTTTTCTCTTTGAGTGCTGCCACAGGGTCCGGCACCTTGATATCCTTCGGCTCTTTCCGGCCGGTTGGAGGGTGTAGGGTTTAGAGTTTAGGGTTTAGGGTTAAGGTGGGTTAGGGCTATTTGCAACCTCAAAATATGAAAATTCATTGCCTTTTCGAGCAGTTTTGATGTGGCGTTGGACCATTCTTCATTTTCGCCATAGTCTAAGCTCCTGGTATCCCCCTTAATAACCCCTATAATGGTCCGCTATACAATCCCCTATATAACCCCCCTTTAAGGAGTTTAGACTCTAGCTCATTTTAATATACTTCGAAGTCCAGGTGGCTTCAGGCAGGCTACGGGAACACCAAACCCTAAACGAAATCTTTGACCCTAAATACATTGAACTGCTGAGCACCGGATGCTGAGGCACAACCTAGGGTTTAGGGTTTAGGGTTTAAGGGTTTAGGCCTGCAACAGTTTAGGGTTTTAGGTTTTTCCGAAGTGTTCAACAATTGGTTTGCGAGGGCTCCTCCTCCGTCAACGATGATGTACGGTCCGCCCATCAGGACCCAAAGCTCTTTCGTGCGAGCCATTTTAAAATGCCTCATTTAACCTACAGCCTAAACTCCCAGTGTCCCTTTCAATCACCCCGATTGTTCTCCCCTATATCATCCCCTATATAGCCCCTTTAAGGGAGTTCACACTAAAGCTCATTCGAGCCACTGCTAAAAGATGGCAACAAAACAGCCAAGCTGTAACTTCTGCATCCACCTTCAATCTTAGGGTCTAGGGTTTAGGAGGATTTCGGGTTTAGGCTCTAGGCTTTAGGCTTTAGCGTACTGGGTTTTTACATCAGCAACCCTCGGAGATTTCCTATTGTCAAGGGATCCAAGTTGTTTTGGAGGTTTTTGAAAATGCGGACTTTGAAAGCGTGAGCTCCAAACGCAAAACCCTGAACACTTGGATCCTTGAACCTTTGCCGATGGCTTCTGATTGTCTGGAAACAATGGGGCTCCTTGAACTCCTTATACTATGGATCCTTTCGAACGCATCGGGAAAATGCGCACAGAGACGCAAAAAGAAAAGACTTGCCCTGGCCACCGCACAACCCTCCTACTGTTGTACTTCTTTGCGTGTTTGCTGCTTATCGCAAATCATACTCCACCTGTTCCCCATCATGAGGACAACGAGAATTACAGGTGTGTGACAAATAATTATTGCGGTGATGGTAGTTAAGTTTAGTGCTGTGCTTGGGAAGCAGGCAATGAAAGTTCTCTGTAACAGCGCCGGGAAAGACAATACTTCAATAACCCTAAACCTAAACACTAATCCCTAAACCCTAATCCCTAAACCACGTCCTTGGGCTTCTCAGTCTTTTTCTCTGCGTCTGCTTTTGGTTTCTCATCCTTCTTCTCGCCATCCTTGGGCTTGCCCTCCTTTTTCTCGGCTACTGCCTTGGGCTTGTCCTCTTTCTTGTCATCTTTCTTCTCGCCGGTCGCCTTGGGCTTGTCCTCCTTCTTCTCCTCCTTTTTCTCGCCCTCCGCCTTTGGCTTGTCCTCCTTCTTGTCTTCCTTCTTCTCACCCTCCGCCTTTGGTTTGTCCTCCGCCTTTGGTTTGTCATCCTTCTTCTCCGCCTTGGGTTTGTCTTCCTTTTTCTCGTCCTTCTTCTCGCCCTCAGCCTTGGGTTTATCCTCCTTCTTCTCCTCCTTTTTCTCACCCTCTGCCTTTGGCTTGTCCTGCGCCTTTGGCTTGTCGTCCTTCTTTTCTTCCTTCTTATCACCCTCTGCCTTTGGCTTGTCCTCCTTCTTCTCCTCCTTTTTCTCGCCCTCCACCTTGGGTTTGTCCTCTGCCTTTGGTTTGTCCTCCTTTTTCTCGCCCTCCGCCTTGGGCTTGTCCTCTTTCTTTTCTTCCTTCTTCTCACCCTCCGCCTTGGGCTTGTCGTCTGCCTTTGGCTTGTCCTCCTTCTTCTCCTCCTTTTTCTCGCCCTCCACCTTGGGTTTGTCCTC